ATTTCAGCATTACTAGTGTTAATAAGCCCTTAGACAGTACTGCTAATGCTAAGAAGCCATTAATGAGCACTGCTAATGCTATAAGCTTTCAATCAACACTCCTAATGCTCCATGCACATAATCCTCTTTATATGAGCATTAGCAATGCTTGATAATATTTTGACAGGAAAACCACGTAGTCAGTATTTGTGAGGTATAACGAGTTGTGTCTCTCGAACATGTTCACAAACACCAACATAAAAATTTGACAAAGATGATTGAGTAAACGATTGATGCATGACTTTTCACACGCGATTTGTTTAACCACTTCGTATATTCCCATCCTTAAATCTCTAGATCTACGTAATGTATGCATTTGAAAATAAAACTCAGTGCTTGCATCAGGAAAGTGTGCACAAAATTAAATTATGAGATCTTCACAGCTTCTTGATGATGAGATCTGAGACCATGAAAACGCGAAATGGATGACCTCCACCAATCGTGTGCTTAAATAAGCCAATTTAAAAAGCAATTTCCATCACGATCTATAGCTTAGGGAGTACAGGCACATGATTGTTGTTCCAGAATGTCCAGGTTCGAGTCTCATTACAGGTAAAATTCATAGCATCTATATCCGTATCTTAATCATAAATATGAAACACAAATGATGAAACTTGAAAAAAAAGGTATCTGAACGTAAAGAAATCATTACTCATCATTTTTTATTCCGTTTACGAGTCTACTTATTTTTGGCATCGGGGGCGGTGGGTGGTATTTGTTTACTCAAACAGCCCGATTATTTGCAAATAATAGGAAAAAAATTCGCGCGGGAATGGAAGCGATAATTTTTGACGTTTCTCACATCAGCCTTAAGTAAGCATTAGCAGTGCTAGTAACGGGCTACCATACAAGCAATATGAAGGCCCGCTATTTCGCCTTTTTAGCATTATATCAACTCTATATTAGCATACAGCACTTCATATGCATTAAATGGCTGCTTCATATTCGGATTTCAAGCAGAATTAGGGCTACGTTTTAATGCTTATCGGTTACTTGGGTAAGTACCTCTTTAAGGGGGTAGTACACTTTGAACGTCCAAAAAGTAAGGCATTTTCGTTAATTTTTTTAAGCAATAAAACACTCAGGGAGGGCAAATATGTTATAACCCATTTATTAGTCATCCTTTCGAACTACAATTTGTATTTTTTTTTGAACTCGATTGGCGTCTCTCCGTGGCAGGTGCAGCAGGTCGCGCGGGCGTCCTCACGCGGAAGTCGGAAAACGGCGGGGGAAAATACTCCTTTCCATGTGATCCTGGAACATAAATTGAACAAAAATCCTGATTAGTAATGAAATTTGGGTTAGAAATATGTATTCCAATTTTTTTTTTAATTTTTTTTTTCAAAAGTTGTGGCCTTTGGAAAAAAGTCCATTTTTTCACCCTAAAAATGCTTACAAAATCGTAAATTAAAAATCCATTTTTGACAAAATGTGGATACGTATTTCTAAGCAGAATTTAATTCTGAACAAGAAAACTTAGGCGATATCCAAATTTGATGATAACTGGTTAGAGTTATTTCCCACGCCAGTTTGAAAAACCCCGTTTCGAGATAAACGCGGTTAAAAATAAAATTGCTCTCTCAGCGCGCCGGTACATGTTTTAGGAAATCGCTTCATTAAGCGGTAAGGAATATTCTGGCGGACTTGGAGTCAGTTCTCAATTAAAGTATACATCCCAAGGAACATTTTAAGCCAAAAAAAAATGCATTTTTTTTTTTGAAAAATCAAAGTGTAATCCCCCCTTAAAAAGTCTAGATTCAATTTCATCTAGAGAAGTCTACCCGAGTAGCACGCTTGTCACAAATCAATTGTAGAAGCTTATAAACGACTTATTTTAGTCACAAACAAGTTGCTGTAACTTATTGTGATGAAAGTGTGCTACTCGGGTAAAACGCCTTGTTCATGAAATCACTCTAGAAAACCTTAAACAGTGTTCTACTCACTTCCCTCCTTACGTGTTCAGAAACGGTTCATTCGTCTGGCCCTGAGAAACTTGCCGTGGAGTGATCCTGACAATTTGCCGCCGTATCCTGATAGATGCCGACTGTTGGGCTTAGACACACTGGAACAACGACGGAAAGTACAGCAATCGTTGCTTATTGCTAAGCTGTTGAATGGTGAAACTGATGCCCCCGACCTGCTTGCGATGATGAACTTTCGTGTGCCGAGCAGATCTCTTCGGAATACAACGCTACTGCAACCAAGTTTTCACCGAACCATGTTTGGGAACAACGAACCAATCTCAGCGTGTATTCGTGCGTTTACGGCTGTCGAAGAGTTTTTCGAGGTCAATGAACCAACCGAACGTTTTGCAAATCGGATTAGGTCTATGTTAAATTAGCTCTAATATATTCATTAAGACTAAATTGTCAGATGAATTATTTTAAATACAAATACAAATACAAATACAAATACATTAATATACTCTAAAAGTGAATTTGGCGATCTCTCAAAGATTCCCGAAATGTACAATACTCTTGTTTCTTCGGGGTCGCCACGATGAACCTCCAACCACTACACCAGTGTACGTCCTGCTATCCGAGCTTCCATCGCTCTGTTTTTTTCTCTTGGTATTTCTTTTCTTTGCCCTGCTTTTGATCCTCATCCAGTTGCTTTTCGAACTACTTCTGGGTCTTTCACAAGGGACTGGAATTCATCCAGTGCCCCAACGCCTTGCATAAGAAGCATTTGTTTTTATTCCCTTCCGATTGAGTAAATTAATCGAGGAGGAAATCTCCATTTCGACGTCTTTGTATACACCGTGCACATCTTTATATCTATCGAGGCCCAAATCACAAAATTGAAACTTTCGCCCATGGTGGGTTTCGCACTACCATTAGGAAAAGTGAACTTGATCGTAGCGTTCAATTAAGGGAACTGAACAGTAGGAAGGCGCAAGTGCGAAACCGAAAGAATGTGAAATCAGCTTTTAGCTGAGTGCAAATCCGATAGAATGCGAAAAAGATGAGCGGTTATGATCTCATATCAGTGAATGATGTGTTTTTGGTTCACTGATAGAATCCGTTTGATTATGTTTTGTGGTTTTGGTTTGTTAGAATTATAACGTAATTAAAACAAATAAAATAAAATCAAAATTCAGGGTAAAAGTGTTCAGAAAGTATTGCAAAATTCTTTCAAAATTAAATTTTGGCATAAAATTTTTCCAAAAATAATTGAAGCTGTTTAAAAGTAAATTGCAATAGAATTAGTAACGGTATCGTTTTTTTACAAGTTTCCAAATGGTTGTTCGAGTTATTTCATAAAAAAAATCGTTAATTTACCCTTGAAAGCTTTTCTAAAATGCTCAGCGCAATGAAGTTCTAATAAAAATTATCTTTTCTACACGGTTTTTTACGCGGTTTTTTTTACACGGTTTTCCACGATTTACACGGTACGTTTTTAACGATTTCTCGACAACGATACAACCTATCGACTTGATTCCAATGACATTATCCGTTTCAAGCTATATGTAATCGAATGGCATATTTAAAGAAAAATCACAATTTTTGGTGTAAATACAGACATTTTTAACATCTGTCTATATGGACCATAGCATGCTTTAATTCCAAATGGCATCAAAATCCGATTTTTTAAAAACATTTAAGCATGTGAAAAATCAAAATCTTGTAGGTTTTTTTACACGGTACATATCCCCCGTGTAAAAAAGACCTGAGTGTATATTCTTTTCCTTTCTTAAGCCAGGGGAGTTTCGGTTCTCCTTCCCACTAAAACCAGTCGTCATAAATATTTCTCATCATTCATTTCGCTGCAAATCTAAGCATTGAGGCAAAGATCACAATGCAAGATGAAAATTGTACAAGCCAAACACAAAAAAGAACTGAACCCAACTATCGTCCAACTGATCTTTTAAAAAAACGATCGTAAAACGTATTTTCAGCTAAGCGCTCCCTCCAGATTGAAATCTCCCTAAACTTCAACAGTTGATTTTAAAGAAATTATCAATTTTCCACCGCTCCATCCCACAATTTACGTTTTATTTCCCTTTTGTTCATTGCTAAATGGGTCAGATGCGGTATTCACTATGCTCCTACTTACCTCGAATCGGATAGACAATCACAAACAAAAAGAGATGGCTCTTCAGTTACCTACATAGCTGCTGCTGCTACATTTATTTACTTCGAGATTTTCAACGGAATCGACTGAAACCGAACACCTTAACCTCGAAATAGTTTAAATGTGGGGCGGTTGTGCTGGAGGATGCTAATAAACATCACTGCTCAAAGCTGGAGAGCTCTAGCGGGCGGGGGAGCAGAGCACAGATTTCCTGCGCACACCGCAGCAGAGCACGACTCATGCGGATTGGCCTTTTAAATACAGGTACGCTCGAGATCTTCATGAGTCATCTCCGATGACGAGGTCCCGGACTCTGTATCGACATGGAACGATCAGACTTTTTTGTTGTTGTTGCTTCAGAAGATTTACGATTTAATGGATGCATCGCTGCTGCAGCAACCGTAAACCGTAAAGGGGAATTCAAGGGTACTTTTTGTACTAGGTCCCTTCCCGGGATGGTTCTGCTGGTTGTATCAACCCTATCACACGAACGGCACCTCCAGCTTTGTGCTTTCAAAACTAAATTAACTGTCACGTTGCGGTGCTTGGGTACAGTTAGTAGAGTGTGTTTTTTGCTCGAAAGGTAACTGTTGATTGGGAAGGAAGCATATGGTCTAGTACACTACTGTGTGTGATATCACGCTCTACATGTTACATTACGTTTATCTTTTAGGCGTTCCCTTAAATTGCACTCCAGTTACCTACACGTAAGCATAGTTGATTAGCGGCAGACAAGGCAAATGTGTGTAATCAAGACACGTTTGTGTGAAGCTTCAAACTACAGAGCACAGTCTCATATCTACACTCTTAATATCTACTGTTTAATCGTGAGCGTAACGACTAATGAATGTTATTATATTTGTGTCTTTATCAATCTGTTCTTTCAGGCAATCACATCGCTGACTCGAAAACGAAGGTGTCACTACAGTCAATGTTGAGCCGTGATTACGAATCGAGCTGCCTCCCATAACGATGACACAGTGCCTATTTCAGCCTCGGTATAGTGTGCTGTCAAGCTAGTTTGTGCCTTCTGTTACTATTGAAAAGAGTCTAGTGGGAGACCAGTGCAATGAGTTAATTAGAAATAGGTTAACCCGAACCGAAGAAAGAAGCGAAACGTGCAAAAAGCAAAAGATGATGAATCGAAAGTTCATCGAAAGTGATATAAATTTTAATTCGAAACGACCGACCGTGGATCGCGGCAGCGTGGGAATGGTGCCTTCGAAGCGGCTTTGTTGGAAGAACCGCTGGAAGCCCAAATGGTTCGGCTTCTCGTTGGCGGCGGTTCTTTTGGTGTTCGGTAGTGCAACGGTGACAGTGATCCAGTGTCAAGAATACGATGAAAGTGCTTACCCGGATCGTGATTTCGAGCACGTCGCAGTGGAAAGTCGGGAAATTATCACGAATCATATTTCCACCAGTGAAAATGGTGGCGGCGGTGGTGGTGGCGGTGCAGGCGGTGACGATGAGTCACATTATCAGTACGAAGGTGTTCCCGGAATGGATGGAGGAGTACATTATACGGAGATTTCCGGGGATGTGGTGCTTGGAGAAAAGCACCTGAGAGCTTCGGAGAGTCCGTATTCGCTGCGGACGGATCTGGAGGTCGAGCGAAAGGCGCGGTTGATCATCGAACCGGGAGTTACGATTTACTTTGCTCCGATGGTCGGAATTACGGTGCGAGGATCCCTGGTGGCTTTGGTGAGTGTTGATGTATAATCTTATCTTATCAGTGCGGTGGGTCGATGAGGAATTGAGCTCGCGTATTGCTGGGCGTTGATTGTGTGTCTGTTATGAAATTGATTCCTTTTGTGTACACAACACTTGCTCGTGTTTGATATGAGCTTGTGTGGTGTCTGGTGCTTAGCGCTGTAGATATGATATCGTTTGGGTGGAACAGGTACACCCGGCCCTGGTTTGCGGTAGGGCGTATAATGTTGCGATAGGTTTGTTTGAGTTATTTGAGTTATCTTGCATGATTGAGCCCTTTGATTTTTTTTTATTGTTACGTCTGGAAAACGTAGCACAGGCGTTTTCCTCTTCCTAATAAAGCATACCAATTTTGGTGTTTCAGATTTTTTTTTTTCGTTTTTTGATCTTGAATCTTGGGTTTCCTGCTCTTTTTTTGTCATTAGCTAATAGAGAGTGTTCATACACACGAGTTAACTACTGCTTGACCAGTGCTGGGGTCAAATTGTGGAAGTCGCAACCAAGCGATGCATTATAATTAGCTTACTACACTGGACCAAAACCACATGTAGTCTCCATTGGTGAAATTCTTTAAATTTTATTGGATGACCAATGAGAAGAAATCGCTTTGAAAAATCCAAGGCTGCATTAAATCCTCATTTCGTATAAAAACATGTTTTACGGAACAATGAAATCAAAAGATGTTATGATCACATGTTATACTTGCAAGCTTACAAAATGAAATTCAAAGTATGTGTTTGCCATATAAAACCTGGCACCTTTGCATTCTTAGACTCACAATCTGCGATTTTATGATCGCTGAGTGTGTGAGAGAATATTGATAAAATCGCTGATTGCGGCTCTCAGGAAGCAAAATTGACATGTTTTATGTGTCAACCACGTATGTACTTTGTAACTTTTTTTTTACAAATAAAAATATGATCATAACATCTACACTCAACATAAATTTCTCTTACATTCGTTGTAAGGTTGGATTCATTACATCCTCTACCAGTGCTGCAAAATCTCGGCAATACACGGTGATATCCCAAATTCTTATTTGGTCACTCATTTGAGCTAACAGTCATCGTCAAAGCAAACCCTTGTCTTCTATCTAAATTTGTAACGAAATTAAATGGCTTGGGCAAAATAATTACATGGAGCCGTTAAATTCAACAAGCATCTACGTCCTGAACTACTTGGATAACAATCATGTGACACAGAATGTACGAAATTACACTTTTTGCTATCAGGTGAATCTTTGTCATTGAAGAAAATATGAATGAGATTTTGACGAAGGTTTTTTTGAGGATCAAGTCTGTCAGTGACTATGTGACGAACAATTTTGTCAATATCGCGCGAAAGTCTGTTAATGGACAATGACAAATCTCCGCACTGTCCTCTACACATGTTTCATAAAACAAATGTAACGGCAGTTCTTGTACAAGCAAGTTTTTCCAGAATGATTTATTTGTATCAAATCTTCACGAGATAATTTTCTATATCCAATGCATTTGGAGAAAAAAAACTGTGTTCGTAAGGCTCAATCGAATTAACTTTACAGAGCCGAGGATTGTTGGTCACTATACAATACATCTTAAAACTATAGTCCAAAAAGCCTCCTCCATCAGAACGGGAGCCGTTTCCAGTTGTTTCATTATATGGCAATTTTGCCAACGGGGGTCAGAGCGCTTCCTTTGCAGTAATGGTCGTAAAACGTGGTCAGCACTCACACACTCATCACTAAACGGTTGCGGACCGAACGGACCGAAAGAACTGCTGATGAAGAACAATGAGGAGGACCACACAATGGTTGCTGCTGAGAAAACAGACGATCACATGGCACACATCGAGAGTTGCCTGCTTTTGTCGACAGCCGAGTGAACACTGAATCTGTTCATGTTGCGAAACATTGCAAATTCTGAATACTTTTCATGCAAATATGTAATAGAATCTTACATTTGCCGGTTGCGTGTAATGATTTTAGAATTCCGAAAAACATTTTTTTTTCAGATGTAATGAGTATTTACGGGGCCTCCCTTAGCTCAGTCAGTAAAGGCGCAGCTACAAAGCAAGACCATGCTGGAGGTGGCTGGGTTCGATTCCCGGGCCGGTCTAGGAATTTTTCGGGTTGGAAAATGTCTCGACTTCCCTGGGCATAGAAGTATGATTGGACTTGCCACACAATTATACTAATGCAGAAATGGTACAGGCACCGAAAGCTCTCAATTAATAACTGTGGAAGTGTACCTTAGAACACTAAGTTGAGAGCACGCAATAAGCTAATATGCGATATGCAATAAGCTTGAAATGCGAAGAAGAAGAAGAAGAAGAATTTACAACCTTAGAAAAAAAATCAATGTATGTTATGTGCCAATGATTTCCAAATGACCATCATATGGATGATACATATCATCGAATTCTCCAATAGGTCTTTAAAACTTGGCCTCTTGTTGCCATCTTGAAAATCATCAGCGTGGTATGAGAGTGAATTCTTAAAACTCTTCTATTTCTAAAACAAAGATTTTAATAATTGTTTTCGTTGGTTCTATGGGTGATAAAACTCATAATCTACCTATCTTAACCACTTCCAGATCATATTTTGAAACAAATATGAATCTTAAATGTAATAAGTCTATTGAGAAGCTCTTGAGTAGTAATTCCCGTATAAACTTCAAAGGGCCAGTGAACTACGATTTCGCAATCACATGAGCTCAAATTTTGAGGTGAGGTGAAACAAAATCGATATTTTGAACCACCCTACTGTGTAGCATTGCACCTTCCAGAATTATCTAGGCCCCCTCTCCTCAGAATGTTTGGTGTTTTTTTTGACTCACCGGTATTTTGTCAAGCTTGTCAAGGTCGGTGTTACTATTTAACAGCGATTAATAAAATGGGACCACATACAAATATTTTTTTAAAGTCCTTTATACAGATTACTTTTCTTATGTTCTGGGCTAGAAATAAATTTGAGAAATTATATCGATATTTAATCGATGGCATACTAAGACGTCTTCAGGCTCTACAATTTGGCCATGAGCTCAGGGGGAACTTCGTAGAATTTTAAGGACTTCTAAGAAGTTCAGGGTACATCGTAGAGATTGAAGAAACTGAGTAGAAATTCTTGAAAACTGCGTATAAAATGTATGTAAGTTTGAGGAGCTTCGTAGAAGTTAAGGGAACTTGTTTGAAGCTTCATGGACTTGGAATAGTTGCGAAAATTACGTACAAATTCATGAAACTTCGTTCGTGCAACTTCGCGGAAAATCAACGAGAAACGTAAAAGTACAGCAAACTTTGTACAAGTTTTGTAAATTTCGTAGCATTTTGAGCAGCTGCGTAAAACTTCATATAAGTGTAAGGAACTTTAAAAAAGTGCAGGGAATTTTTTAGAAGATCTAAAAATAGTTCAATTAACGTCTAAGAACTTCATGGATCCATGCTTTAGTTTAGGGAACATCTTTGCAGTTTGTCAGAGATTTTTCTTCAAAAAAGCTCCATGAACTTCTTGGAGGCTTTGGGAACTTCGTTAAATTAAGGAACTTTCTAGATGTTCTAGTGTCTTTCCAGAAGTTCAAAGATGTTCAGAGATCTTCGTAGAATTAAGAGAGATGGAAAAAAAATATATGGAATTTTGAATACATTCAGGGAACTTCGTAGAAGTTGAGGAAATTTTGTAAAACTTAAGAGAGTTTTGTAGATGTGTAGGAAATGTTGCATAAGTTACAGAATATTCTTTCAGAAATCCTTTCTAGACAGCAAGAAAAAAATATTTCATATAGACGAAGATATTAGTAAAGTTCTCTGGATATTTTTCCAAGACTTCAGGTTGATCAAGCTCTGAGGATCTCTAACTGTTTAAAAATTCAAATAGTCTTTCAAGACTGTAGGTTGTTCAGGAAGTATTCAAAAGTTTTCCAATTATTTGAATCTGATAGAATCTTGAATGATGAATCTATAACGTGTCTTAGATTGAGTGTGTAGTTCTTAGAACAGCCTGTAATGAATAATAATTAAGATAATTTTTCGCGTTAGCAAGAGATGGTATATTCGATATCAGACGGGCTTACAACGATGACTCAAATCCCACCCACAATCTTTCTGGGATTATGTCAAACAGCAACGTAACGAGTGTGACCTGCCTTCTTCAATGAAGTGGAATGGGACCGTAGGCTCTGAACCACAAGACATATGTGACATGTTTGGCTCGAAGTTTTCTAGGATTTTCTCCAACGAATTGCTATCCGATAGACAGATATCATCAGCATCTAGTAACACACAGCCGTCAGGGCTAGCTATGCCTGAAGTCACTGTTAACAATGATGCGATTATGGCAGCTGCACGTAAACTAAAAGTGTCAACGTGCTTAGGTCCCAAAAGGTTTTTGAAGAACTTCATTGACAGCTTGCTCGAGGCACTTCAAGTGATCTTCAGCTTGTCGCTTTCATCCGGAGTGTTTCCGTCCTGCTGGAAACGTGCATAAATGTTCCCTGTACACAGAAACGGCGATAGGAAGAATGTTGATAATTATCGTGGAATATCCTCGTTATGCGCTGTTTCCGAACTCTTTGAGCTTGTTGTGATGGACCAATTATTCTTTCATTGCAAGTAATTTTTAAGCCCAGACCAGCATGGTTTCATTCCCGGTCGTTCAACCGCATCAAACCTTTTATGTCTCACTTCTTAAGTAACCGACAGTATGCTTGAACGAGCACAAACGGATGTACTATATTTGGACTTATCCGAAGCATTATAAGGTCAACCATCAAATTGCTGTAGCGAAGCTTGAAAAGCTTGGAATTCATGGAACTCTTTTGGATTGGTTCCAGTCCTACTTGAACGGTCGTCGCTCGCAAGTAGTCATCGGCGAATCCACTTCAGCTTTATTTCAAATCATGTCAGGGATTCCGCAGGGAAGTCATCGTGGACCACTCATCTTCCTTTTATACTTCAACGATGTCAATGCAGTGCTGGATGGACCAAGGTTTTCGTTTGCTGATGACTTCAAGCTA